ATATATATATATATATTTGCCTCTACCCTTCTGCTTTATGGTACTTTTTTCCAAATTAGGCGGACATCCCCTCTTTGGGTGGACACAGCCCCTATTCTTGCCCTAAGCCAGGTGCCCAGGTATCGGATGTAACCTACTTCAGCTATCGGATGTGACCTGCTGTTGGACTTGCAGTGATCTATCTCCTGTGTTTGGGTTGGTCATTTTCTGGAACTAAAGGCAGTCTTTATCTCTCCCTTTTACTTTTTTATCTTGTTAGAATTTTTTGGCCCACTGTTCCATCCTGTCTAGCTATTTTGGGCTCCAACATATCTGCCCTCCCACCCAGCTGCAGAATCATTAAAACATCACGAGTTGCTTAATCTGCCAGCAGAGTGGCTCTATCAAGAGGAAGTGAGGTCTGGCATGGGAGTCTTTATTCATCTCATTCTGAGTTAAATGATTGCCTCTTTCCTTTCTACTGGCTCATAATGAAAATCTATTCCAAAGTTTCTTTCAGTATCAATATCTAATTTTCCACTGTACACTCTGAGTCGTGGAAACTTCTTCCCTTTTCTGAATACCAGCACGTTTTCTGAACCCTGTCCAGTCTCCATCCACATCTCCAAGCTCCACAATTCCTCCACAGTCACTGAGAACCATTTTCAACTGAAATCACAGTCAGCCAAGGGCAGAGGTCTCAGGAAATTTCTTCTGAAGTAGCTAAACCAGAGATCTTCACAAATAAAGGAAAAATTACTATGATACAGAATTTGTTTCTTTATTGCATTTTAGAAGTTCCCTTATTCACCTTTTGCACAGTGGGAAACTGTTATCCTTTTATTTAATGTAGGGTTTTTTAATATAATAATAAAATTTCAGCAACTAAAAAATGATTTTCAGAAAAATACATAATTTTTTCACTCTGGTTTCGCCAGATGATTTTTTCTCTCATTTGGCTACAATATCAGTATTGAAATCTCTTTTGTTTGCTATCTTACATAAGCAAGTAGCTGTGATTATATAACTTCACTATCAGTGAATTATTTTTAACCTACATTTAACTGTTAGCAGAAAGAGTGGACTATGCTGAGTTCTTCAGATTAAAGCTACATCACTAAATGTAAAAGCTAGTTTTGACTTGTTTCTAATTGGAGCAGAGAAAGATGCAGAGTAACATTTTTTTCCAGCCATATCTGAGCCCTTTCAGAGTAAGTATCATCACCATGTTTTATAACAAGACTGAGAAGACCCTTTATATAGCAAAATGATTTACAAAGAAGCTTCAGTCTTTAATGCAGGTTTCCCCTAACTGCATGAATTTCTAGGGCCAGCCACAATCAGAGTGTCACATCAGAAACATAGTGCTTGACTGAAAGGCTGGCTTGCAAAAGCCAAGAACTAAAGAAGGTTTTGCCTTTATAAGGATATCATAAACAGTCTCCCATTGACAGGAAGTCAGTGCATACAAATACTGTTTTAAAGTCAGGATATTTAATTGTACTCTAATCTTTATACTTTATATTTTCAGGTGCGGTGTCTACAACTATTGTCCAAGTGTAATATAAATGAATCCAGAGGCAGGAAGTCCAGTACTCACTCACAGGCACCTGCTGCAATTTAAATAAAAAAGTACTTGCAAGACAATGGTTGGGTATAGAAGAGAGCAATAAGTATAGCCACTGGCCCTGCCTGACTAACATAAAAGGGAATTAAAACTCCACCTGCTACCTTCAGTACCTTAGGTGACCCTGGAATCACAGGAAGTAGTGGGGGAAAAAGATGTAAGTAGTAAGAAACCAGGGCACACTCCTAAAGGAAAAAAAATACAAGTAAAGAAAGATTTCTAGGAAATAGCCAGAGAATTCTCACTTTCCTCCTTAAAAAACAGATTCCTTCTTATTATAACAATTTGCACAGTGAGGAGCATTTATAACACAAGGAAAAATGTAGGTGATTCACTGGACTTGAATTATTGAACTGGAGACAAGTTGCCTATGGCTCTAATTAATGTCATTTGCTAGTTTGGGGTACTGGTGCTTTCTCCTAATGTACATAGGAAAGCTGGTTGGAAAATTAGTTTTTATTGGCTAACCAATATTCACCATGTCTTGCCGCTCTGTCTGCTACATATGGTGTAATCTATAGACATTTCCACTGGACCTTGAGGGACCAGTGTTAACCACGGTTTGCTATGAAGTGGAAGAAAACATCTCTCTCTGAAAGTCAAAAACAATTATTTTAAACTCTTAATATGTTCAATATAAAGAAGTCCAATAAGTCAATACTAGGATCTGTAAGTTAATAGTATTTAGACTATACAATAGGATAGGATAGGATACACAAAAAACACAACACGCTTACTTATATAAGTAAAAACGGGAATGTGTTAGCTTTCTGTTTCTGTGCCAAAATAAACTCATATAAATCAATTTAAAGGAAGAAAGATTTATTTTGACTTAAAGTTACAGAAGTTTAAAAACACAGTCACCTGGCACCATTATTTCCAGGCGTAAAATAAGTAGAAGGATATAGTGGATCAAAGCTGTTCACCTCATAGCAACTGGGAAGAGATACAGAAAGAGGGTCAAGGTCCTCATACACCTTTCAATGGCAGGTCCCCAATGACCTATTTCCTTCAGGCAGGCCTCACCTTCTATCTTCTTCTTCCCCTTCCCTTCCCCACCCCCTCCCCTTCCTCCTCCTTCTTCTCCTCCTCCCTCCTCCTCCTCCTTCTCCTTCTTCTTTTCCTGTACTGGAGATCAAACTCACGACCTTGTACTTGAGATGCAGGTGCAACGCCACTGAGCTAAATCCTCGACTCCACTTTCTTAATTTTCTATCACGTACCAGTAGCACTATCAGCTAGGGACCAAGCTTCCCACACATAAGCACTTGAAGGATATTTCAGATCCAAAGCATAACAAAGTATAAATTCAACCTCATTAAAATTAAGAAGTTGAAACTAAGCTCATCAAGAGCCACCTTAAATAGATGAGAAGACAAACTACCAACTGAAAAAAGCTTTAAAACATACACGACCAACAAAAGATTAATATCAACAATATATAAAGGTGTTCAATAAGTTGATAAGAATCACACAAACAACGCAGTTTAAAAAAAAGAAAAGACATGATCAGTTTTTCCTCAGAAGAGGAATCACAAATGGCCAGTAAACACATGAATGGATGTTCAACTTCAGTAATCACAGAAATATAAATCAATGCCAAAAGAAAGTGCCACTTTACACCCGCAATATTAGAAACAATGGAATAACCTGATAATACCTCACATTGGAAGTATCCATAAAGCATTTTTTAAATATTGCTAGTGGGAGTATCAGTTGATAAAACTATTTGGAAAATGTTTTAGCATTAGCTTCTAAAGTTGGATACTGTCATACCTTTTGATTCAGCAATTCTATTTCTAGGAATATACTCAAAAGAAATATTGAACATATTTACCTGAATATTTATGGTCCATAATAACAAAAACTTTGAAATAGCACAAATATTAGTGAACAAGAGAGTAGAGGAACAACTTGGACATAGTCATATGATAAGATGTTAAAGAAAAATGAATGACAGCAACGTGCAGAAATATAGAAAAATCTTAAAGATTACTTAAGGATGATATCCTTTATATAAAATTAAAAGCTAAAAGTGCAAAACCATACTGTTTAGAAATACACAAAGGTGAGCTGAAAGTATGGGGGGATAGCAAGAGGATAATAAATACAGGATCAGGATATGGTTCTCTCATGAAGGGGAAAGCACAGAATGAGACTGTGGAAGACCACGGACTAGATGGAAGTTATATGGTGATGCAGCCATGGATGGTCATTGGATTAGTCCTATTAAAAGAAGGCACTTCATGTCCTAGTGAGTATGTGTCATGAGCTAAGAAACATTTTTAATCAATTTTTAGGCAATGTAAAAAAAAAAAAAAACAAAAAACTGTCCTGTTTGGTTATGAACTGTTATCCATGAAAGAAAGAAGTGCCCAGAATGTTCTAAAAGGAAGCTTGTAGTCATTCACTCGACCTATTTCCATTGTCCATCAATCCCACAGGAATGTCAGACACAAGTGGAGCCAGAACAAGGCCTTCTGATTGATAAACCCTGCGCACACTCATGATGTTAGTCACATCTTCAGTGCTCAACAACTCTTTCTTTTGGATGAGGTTTCTGTCCTTCCGTCCTTCGCTGTCATGGAAATGGACCTGGTTCTGGACAGAATACCCCCAGCTTCACTCGTCACTCTGCACTGGGAGCTTCAGAAGAGCCAGATGACAAACAGAGCAGAAGGAAAGGTGACAATGAGTGGTGTCCCTTCCGTAGTCCCGGTCTGTGTTTCACCTCCGATGTGCTTCGTTATTGAACCAATCTATCAATTGATGATTAATCTATTAGTCATCAACCATCAAGTTAAGTGTATTATTTAGGAAAGCATTTAAGGAGAAAGCATCTGGCCAACTCTGCGGTCACTCCTGACTGGAAAGAACAGATCACCTTATTTGTCAACAGAATAGAAATACCCTGCTCTGGGTAGGTTTGTCTCCCGCAACACCAAAAGTGTGTTTTTATATTCTTTTAACAATAGTAACAAATAAACGCATTTTAAAATATGCGTTCTGCCCATAAAAATTTTGGAATATTCAAAAAATATGAAAATGAAATTTTTAAAATATCCATTAGCCTCCAACATAGAAAACAAATGTATATTAACTTGTTTTCCCCTTCTTTTATCTCTTGCTTTTCTTAATTCATACATATTCATACTTTTATTGCTTTCCTGTGCCCTCCATCTCCCCTAATATTCAGATCACATCATCTTGTATGCTGCTTTTTGTTTTAATTTAAAAATATATGATGTATTCTGCTTTGTCATTATTCTTAAAAACATAACTTCCAGCTGGGGATTTTGCTCAGTGGTGCAGCCGCCTGCCTTGTTGAGTTCAATCCCAGGCACCAAAAAAAAAAAATAAAAAAAAATATATATATGTGTGTGTGTGTGTGTGTGTGTGTGTGTGTATGTGCATAACTTCCAATGGTTGTAGAATACCCCACCATTAGTTCAATCAAATTTTAATTACTTCCCTATTGTTAAAAATATATAATTTTCTTAATATTGTATTATAGGATATGATGCCACATAAATTTAGTTATACATAATTAACTCTCCATGTCTCTTCTTATTTCCTTTGGGTAATTTCTTAGAAGTGGAATTTCTGGATCAAAGGGAAAATTTTTAAGATTTTTACAATAAGTATTCCAAATTGTCTAACTGGAAACTTTACCTATTTACATCTGTATCAGCAGAACTTACAGTGCCTCACAGCACAGGGCTTTAAATTTTAAGACTTTCTGTCAGAAGTGGTGGTACACACCTTAATCTCAGCACTCAGGAGACTGAAACAGGAGGATCACTGTGAGAGTTCAGGGAAAGCCTGGGCTGCATGATGAGTTCCAGGGCAGCCTGAACTACATAACAAGAGTTTGTCTCAAAATATCAACAATTAGGGCCAGGGATTTAGCTTCATGGTTCCACTGCCTGCCTTGCAAGCTCAAGGACCAGAATTCAATCCCCACTACAAAAAATAATAATAATTAATTAATTAAAATTTTTTATGATTTGATGGGAAAATAGACAAAAAATTTATTTCAGCTACATTTATTGTTAAAGACAGACCTGAAGATATTTATTAGTCATTTGCACATTTCTTATTGTCTATTGCTTATTTATTTTTTTTACTTAGTATTTTGGCATTCTCGTACTTTTGTTATTGATCTATAAAAGCTTTTTTGTATAATGGCTGAAACAGTATGTTGTCAATATTATTTAATAATTTTTGATATAAATTAACTAATTTTTTACAGATATGTGCATCTGCCAAGTGTTCTTGATAAAAAGATCTGATTAATAATAATATATTTCTTTTCTGTTACTGGTTTCATTTTGATGTACAACTATTTTATCCATATTGATCTATCATAGTAAATAAGAACCTAGTGTGGTTATTTAAATAATTAATGACTTGTCGACATTGTTTATTAAATATCTCTTTTTATATTGGTTTGTAATGTCTCCTTTATATATATACTAATGATCATTTATGATATTATCTCTTCTTAGGCCTTTTTTTTTTTTGAGACTGGGTCTCACTCTGCAGTTGAGACTGAAGTGGAACTCACTATGTAGCCCAGGCTGGTCTCGAACTCACAGCAATCCTCCTGCCTCAGCCTCCCAAGTGCTGGGATTAGAGGCATGTGCCAGGATGACCGGCTTCTTCAGCCTTTTTGATTCACTGGTCAGTCTGTATTTCTGTCAACATCACACTGACTTAAATAGTTTACCTTTAGAATACAACGTAATATATAAACAGCTCCCCTCAACCCTCAGCCTCAAGTGCTGGGATTAGAGGCATGTGCCAGGATGACCGGCTTCTTCAGCCTTTTTGATTCACTGGTCAGTCTGTATTTCTGTCAACATCACACTGACTTAAATAGTTTACCTTTAGAATACAACGTAATATATAAACAGCTCCCCTCACCTCCCACAACTATTTTCTTTTTCCAAAAGTTTTTTCATTACTCTCACTTATTCTTCCAGATTAAAATCTGTTCTCCATTTTAAATTGGTCCTCTGAAAAATAACAGATACAAATTAGAAAGACATTTGAAAAGCAGATTAAGGCAGGGTAAGATTTATAGTCATATCCTATTTAGAAGCTGAGCTGATGATTTTATTTAGAGTTGTTTCCCCTTATCTGGATGCACACTAGAATTAATTATTCTCTCTTGATATATACTAGAATCAATTATCTATTACATACATTAATATGGTATAGACAAGCATCATAATAATTCTTAAAATATTACCAGAACTGTGTCATCTCAGTCAGTATCTCTGACTTCTTCCCTTCAATTTTCACCATTGTCATGAGAGAAAAGCAAAGGAAAAAATTATTAAATCTCTCCCTCTGCTCTCTCCCTTTTCCCCTCTTACTTCATCTCTCTCTCTCTCTCTCTCTCTCTCTCTCTCTCTCTCTCTCTCTCTTTTGCAGAGATAACAACAAATCCCAAAACTGCTTATTGATATAGCCAGAGACCCCCGAGTGGTGTATAATCCTGTTAGAGAATATTCCTGAAAACAGCCAGAGGCATATATCAAGCATTTAAGTGCTTTTCTTTAGAATTAAATAAATACAAAATAAAAGAATAAGCTGTAGAGCTTCAATTGAAAAAGCATTGCCTGTGGTAAAATAATGGGTTTGAGTCTGAAAAGACCATCTGTTAACCACCCACTGCACTCACCAAGGATGGAATCTCCTCTACAACACCTTTTGGCCAGAAGACAGTTTTCTTCTTTTATGAACAGGCAGCTCTCTGACCGCCACCAGCCATCGGAGGGAAAAACCTAAAAACAGAAGTTAGAAATTATTCAACAAAATGACACCAAAGTTGCTTAAAGGCAAACTATTCTCAAGCCAAAATTACAACTCTAGAAATAATTGCTGACATTACAATACCAGGCGTCCCGAGGTAGAGCCTTCTGTTTGAGAAGAAACACAATCATCACTATCAATATGTGCAAATATTTATGCGGCACAGACTAAAAGCAAAACTGAGTAAAATGAGAAATTTCAAGAAGCCCAAGACAGAGGCCTTGTTCCTGAGGAACTTACAATCTAATTGACAAGTCAGGACACATAGGAGGTCATGCAAAATCGATGCCAAATACTCATCAGAAAAAATAAATCTTCATTGTGTGTTTAGGGAACCGATTCCCTTGTGTTTCCAGTTTGCTTCCTACTCTATTTTACTTTTGCCTGACTCTTCTGAGTTTTTTGTTTATTTAATTTTGTTAGATGATATGTGTCTTGGTGGGGTCCCTTTCTCTTAGAGATGAGGTAGAGTTGCTGGTAGGAAGTACAGAGAAGCAGTTACGAGCTGGGACGCAAACAGCTCATCCAGCAATACCTGTGAAGTCCTTGGTCTGGCTCAGAGTCCAGCCTTACGCCTGGAGCCTGCTGCTCTGCCTTCTCAGTTATTCCTCTTACTGGCATCAGAGTCTTTGGCAGCATCATATTCATTTGGCAAATATTAACCCTTTTGTTCTAAATTCTGTTGTGAAAAACTGTATTAAGACTGAAACAGGGTTCCTTTGCACCACAATAAACCATGTACTTCAAAATATTTAAAGTCAAACATGAAAATGCCATGATACAACTCTTCAGGACTTTCCCTTGTCTAATTTGCTTTCGATTTACCACATCACATTTTGTAAAAGGATTTGTATTCCTGCAGTGTGCATGACATCCGCGTGGTCCACAATCAATATCAAATGAAAAGACCTAACCGGTTCCCTAGTCCTCTGCCTACTAAAATAGTGCTGTCTAATCAGGCATCTCCCAGCAGGAAACAGGCCTTCCTACAGCAGGAAGCATAGGAAAAAGAACTGGAGACAGCAATCCCAGGGGCTTTTTTGCCAGAAAGGACAAAATGGCTCTTCTGGCAACTCCCGACTCAGGAAATCACTGAATTAAGTAGTCAATCTGCAGAGTAATTTAGCATGTCATCTGCTTCCTGGCAACAGATATTTGGAAGCATTTATATTTTAATTCAACTCTGTCATCATAGGGGTTAGAGCTACTTCTCCCTAAGGACCTCAAGGTCAAAGATGTTGCTGTTTCTCCAAAGGCAGCTCCTTTAGCATCCTCCTCCCTTTCCAGGCCCCAGTGATCTTGACTCCCCTTTGATTTCTGTCTGGGTTAACCAAACCCTTTTCTTCAGAGTTAAATATAAGTAGGGTCGGGGATTTAGCTCAGTGGTTCCACCGCTTGCCTTGCACACACAAGGACCTGAGTTCGATGCCCAGTACAAAAAAACAAAAAAAAACCCTCATCAGAGTTAAATATAAGTCGCATATGGGTGGGCTGAAGTCCTTGCAGTGGCTTCTCTGGCAAATATACTAGCAAGGGTGCAAAAGAATGAAGATGTAATTGCACTCCCGAGTTGAAATAGCATTGGTCTCTCTGGGGGAGAAGGAATTTTTTTTTTTTCCGTGCCAGGGATCAACGGAACCACTGAGCTAAATCCCCAGCTCTCCATTTCTCCATTTGAAGAGTGAACTTAACAAACACCAGTCATCTGCCGATAGTAGAGGTGGGCAATACCTGCAGGTGAGGCACTGTGCACTGAGGAGACCTGTAAACACATGTCAAGAGTGGAAATAATTCTGTACAAGGGTAGAGCAGTTTCTTACATCTGGTAAACATGTGTCCGCAAAATACCTCAAAGTAAAACGTGTAAACTATATGCAGCAGGACCATGCAACCCTAACTGTAAACATACATCTGTGAGCCCTTGCCTCTTAGAGAGAATTGTGGATACTCCAAGAGGGGCTAATAAACATGAGGAAGTTAATGATTTTTACATGGGGCAGCAGTCACTTTGTTCCTGTCTTGATGGGAGCTCTCTTTACCAAGAGGGCCAAGGGAAGCATGTCCTGGCATCCTGAGTAATGAGAAGACCTCAACTAAATACCCCTGAATCATTGCATTTGGAGTCTTCTGGGGGTCAAGTGCTGTATCTTCCAGCAAAAGCTAAAATGAGCTTTGCACTTGTGTTATTGGCTTTGGTCTCACAATAACTTGTCAAGGTGAGAAGAGTTATCCCTATTTTACAGATGATTAAAAGGAGGCTTAAGGATACACATATATCCATAGTTCATAGAGATACTAAGGGGTGGAGTTCGGATTTTTAATGTCTGATCCCAAATCCATCTTCTTTCCCCTAGATTATGCCATCTTCTGTGTACTCTTTGTTGTTCCCCATGTGCCTCAATTTTCTAATCTGTATGTTAGAAATAATAATACCTAACTTTGGGAGGCTAAGAAAACCAAAAGAAGTTACATAGGTGCAAGCACCTTATAGCAATGAAAATTGCTGTTCTGATGATAGTAATTTCATGTTTACTTCTTCTATTACCAGTCTCCTTATTACAAATGCATGTGAAAAGTTTATATTTAGCCATGTACATTGATCTTACTTGGCACATAAATGAATTACCGCTTTACATTTCATTGATTTTAAGGAATTTAAAAGTAATTCAACCCAATTCAGCTATATTTTGAGGTACTGCACCTCAGTCGTTCTTGTAGACATTTAATCCACATCAACCATTTATTCACTTTCAGTTTGATGCTTCAAAGGTACCATTTAAAAATCCACATATCCTTAAGCATTATCGCATTATTTAAGAAAAACCCTGCATAGAAGGCAGATTATGCCTAGTTAGGTATGAATTCAAATACAGGGGTGAATATCAAAATAGGTGAAAGCTAACAAGATAGAAGAATTTGCATTTGTTCTGGTTTTCTTCCAGTTTCCTGTCATCATCTCCTCTCCAGTACACAAGGAGCAGTAACAATACACATGGTAGAACTCGCCCTTCCAGAAACATGGATAAACATAAAGATTGCTTGTATATGGTTATAAACAATTTGTTATTCAAACTCACTAATAGCAGTATTCAGCAGGCAAACTATCTAAAAACCTTCCTCTTAAGAACTAAATTCCAAAGTTTAACATTTCAAGCTATATAATTTGAATGCATTTTTGACACAGCCAATGGAAAATGCTATTGATTCCACATGTGCTGAGCTTGTAAATAGCTCAGTAACTCCTTTACTCTTTCCAGGCACAAACTAATGGCCTCCTTTTCTTTCCCTGGTAGAAAGAAAACTTGGTTTTTTTGTTTTGTTTTGTTTTGTTTTGTTTTGTTTCAGTGTCAGGGGGAATAAGGACCATAATGGAATATGTAAATCACTCAAATCTGTGATACTGTATTAGAGATAATGTGAATCTTTTCTTTGCAAGACCTAGTTCCTGCAGAAAAAAGCCTCCCACTGCACCAGGGATTAGTACACAGCCATAGAACAAGCTAAACTTTTTGTCTTGTTTAACAGAAAATAAAATCTTTGACTTATACTGTGGGCTTTTATAATACTGAAAGAAAATACTAGTTTCAGTAAGATGTCTTAAATAAATAAGAGTCTTACATAAAAATAATTTCATATCCAGGAGTTGTTCACTTCTATTTTTGAAATTATCTGGTTGGAGAGGTGTTCAATCATAGCACACAAAGGCAGAACACCTGGGCTTTATACAGGACTTCTGATCTATAAATCCTCTTAAGCCTTTGAGTAAACCCAACCTTACTTACTCTTCCATATATTTTCTTGCTTCTAGGTTTATATGATTTGAAGAGAAACCAGAGTATTTATTTTCTTACTTCTAGAATCCCACCACCCATACTCTAGGACTTAGAGTTAATAATGGTATTTATGAGGCTGATGAGAGGATTAAATAAATAATATCTAACATATAAATCATAGAATATGCCAGAATGTAATAAATGTATAGTAAGCATCCATTTTTGTTTTAGTTATTATTATTAATATAGATGATAGCTGCTAAATAACAGAACCTTTAATTTCAACTCCAATACCATGTCATGTAAAAGAAGTAAAATTAATTATCCTGCCTAATCAGATACAAACATGCAAAAATCTTCTAAGTCTTTTCTGTTTGCTCTCTAGCAGCTGAGTTTGTATATTGCTGTATCCTTTTAATTTCCTTCATTAGGAAAGGCCAGTGCAGCACCAGTGTGGGAGACCTTTCCACTGCTGCCCTGGGCCCAGAGATGGTATCTTGGAGCAATTTCCTCCATTCATATTTAAAGAAGGTGCTTAGTGACTGTGTGAGCCTCCCCAGGCCTCAGGCTCCCATAAGGTCCCTCTAGGACTACTGGCAGGGTTTGCTTTCCAGAAAAATCAATCCACAAATGAGCCTCAGTACTGCAACCAGACAAGGTCACCATAGAGTTTAATAAAGCAATCTTGTAAAGTCCTTGGAGATGTAAGGAAGTGTATGACAAAGGGCTACAGACATTCTCTGACCTTCAGTATCTTCCCTGCTTATGAAAGCACTTTGGTAACAGATAGTTAAATATTATGCATGCAGTAAACAAAAACCTTTTGAAATTATTTTAATTAGCCTTGTTTTTTGTTTTGTTTTGTTTTTTTTCCCATCTTCACATGGAAATAGATTTCTGTTCAAAGAAAGTCTTGTTCCCCTTGAGAAGTCATAGGAAGGACAAGGTAAATTGATGAAAAGGCATACAGCCCCAGTCCTGGGGGCTTCCTGGCCTCATCTCTTGGGCCAGGTACTTAGCATGAAATTTGACTGACAGTAAGCCAGGTTTTAGTTCACAAAATAATTTTCAATATACAGGGATTGTTTCCACAGGGTTTCTTGCTCAGTCAAAATCCATTTCAAAGCTATTCAACCCTCTCTGAAGAATCAATCCCCAAACTATTGAGTTTTTACAACAAGCACTTAGTCTGCAGCTGGTATTCCAAGTGTTTCATTATATTAAATAATTTAATTGCTACAACAGCTGTGAGTATTATTCCTGTCCCCATTTTACAGATGAGAAAGAAAAACAAGCCCCTTAAGCATCTGGCATGCCATCTAGAAGGGCTAGAAAATGACTGAGGTAGAACTTACACTCTAAAAGCCTGATTCCATAGTCCTTGATCTCAATCATTTATCTTTGTTGGTTTTTTTCCTCCAAAAATGGAAAATTAATATCTTTGAAATTTAGGGTAACACCTAGCACACTTTCACTTTAATAAAACTGTCAATGCCTCCCTCTAGAATGCAATTAAAGCTACTCTAATAATGAATGTATTCTGGGAACCTAACTTATTAATTTAAGCTATGAGTTCGTTACCTCTCTATGTTTACATCCCATCAATCAGTCAACAAACCTTTATTTTCAGCAAAGAATATTGTTCAGTCTACACTTTCTATTGCAGTGAATATTTTTCGGTATTAATTCCACAGGAATGTTTTAAAGGCCCGTTGTGCTGGCTCTTGCATGAGGTAAGGTTCCCTAATATTTATATTTCAAGTGCCTTTTCCTTAGAGCTTTTGCAGTATAAGTCAGGTATTTGAAACATATTGCTATTTAGACACCAGGAAGTAATGTGGCCTGGTCTATCATTTTTTAAATGCAGAAACTCGAATCATAGTGCATCTGTGTCAAAGCAATGATTAATTTATAATACATAATAGAAGACACTTATTGGTGAAAAGTTATTAGCAAATGTTGGAAATAACCTGTCTATTTATAGGCACCAAAGTCCCCCAGTTGCTTCAGAGGTTAGGGTTTCCCTCTTTGTTGTTGTAAACATAATTTCCTCCCAGGACTCTGTTTCTATGACTACCTGTCAACCCTGTGCCAGGCATGGGTGTCCCATTTTCACTGTGACTGCACCTTCATCCTGTTTAGAGGCCAAGGAAGATGGCCACAGATATAGAGTTATTTTAACTCACCAGAGCCTGGGAGAAACCAGCCAGCTTCACTTTGCTCCAAGACCATTCACTCATCAATTGGGTCTTTAACTAGATATTGCTTTTTCGTTTGTTGTTTGCTTTTTGTTTTTTGTTTTGTTTTTTTGAGGCAAGGTCTCACTCTGTAGTTGAGACTGACCTGGAGCTCACTATGTAGCCAAGGCTGGTCTCGAACTCACAATGATCTTCCTGCCTCAGCCTCCCGAGTGCTGGGATTACAGGGGTGCCCCACCACGCCCGGCCTAGATATTGCTTTTTAACAGCCAGTCACCAAAAATTCATTGGCCTCTGCAAACAAACAGGTTGCCTCTATTTTAAATTACTAAGCCTGTACACTAAATGTCACAAAGTCTCCTCAATACCCTCCTCAATAGATAATTTACTCTATAGAGTATGGGCAAAGGACCCTTTTCTGTTTTGAGTGAGTCTCCTTTGAATTGTTTGGGGATCATTTTCTTCAGTAAATAGCTAGCTCGTTGGTCCCATATCAAACCAATTAAACCAGGTTCTCTCTTTTTAAAGTTCTCCTGTTTCTATTATGTAGTTAGGAGCATAAACCATTATTCAAATACCTTTATTCATTCCAAACAACCAAGCAAACAAATATTTTAGGTAAGATTGGATACATGTTTAGTGTCACCAAACCTTCCAAACAATTTTAGATGACATAAAATAGCCACATGGGTTGAGTCTAACAAGCAGTGCTCTGGCAAAAATGACTCTGGTGGGTCATTCATTCTATTCTCCCCCTCATTTGATCTACACAGTGGCCTAGACCTCCAAAAGAATGGGTTGGCCATTCCAAGGGTCAGCTACTAGAGCCCCGTGAGCACAAAGAAATCGGTTTATGATCCCTTACCATGGAATTCCAGTTGAAAAGAATTAGGACAGTCCCTTGAAGTTAAAGGCAACTCCCCTCCAGACATCAAAAGACAGGCTCTGAAAGAAATCATAGAATGTCTTCAGTATCAGAAAGGAGAGATCAGAAATTAAGGCTCCAAAGTCCTGTCTCTTAGGGTACCTTCCACCCACCCAGAATATCAAACAAAGCTCTTCAATGAAGCCACAGTGCTGGTGAAAATCAGTTAGTAGTGGCACAGAGCAAAGCAGCACAAGATAGGTGCTGGGCTGGAACTCACAGCAAAGTCCTGGGGTTCTGCTTTTGGTTGTCAACAATTTTACAAAAGATCAAAGCTAGGCAAGGCACTTCAGTGACCATGATGAATCAAGATTAAAAACTAGAGCACTCCATAATAATGTCTACACTTGAACTCAACCAAAAGGCCGAGAAGCAATACTCCATAATTCTGTCTAAACACAAAAACACTAACGTTGTCCAAGCAAGACAGGAACAGGATTGAGCAATGTGGAAGAAAGGGATGCAGGGAATGCAATGATGCTTTGTACCATTGCATGATTTAAGGACCTGAAGATTTCATTCTTCTATGTGTTCAACAGTTTCATAGTGAGCATTTTACCTCATCATTTTTTGAAAGGGAATAGTTTTGGTAAAGAAATGCAACTACACATTCTTCCAACTTTTCATATTCTCTCTCTCTGTTTTGATGAGAGAGAAGCAGTGTGTATGTAATCCACTGTGTAGCCTGAAATAACAAATTGCAATAACATAATTCCCACGTTCCAAAATTGTACTTGATTCTTGACACATAGAATGTAAGAAATAATGCATAAAAGGTCATTGTTGACATCATCGAGAGAGATGCATGTAGTATGTCTAAAGATTATTCAGTTGACTAGGAGAATTTGTCAGTGAATCAGGCTAATAAAATAATACCACTACTAAGTACAATGCATGACAGCTTTGTTCCTCATCCCTCCCTCTGTCTTCCATTCCAGAATTAATTGGTTTAGATGATTATCATATAATACATCCTTGTGCTTCTCAAACAAATAACATCTGCATATTTTATGTATTTAGCCACCACTTTATTCTTTCAGATCAATGGTTTTAAAAAGCTATAAATAGATCTCTCCTTTTTTTCTTCCAATGAAATTTTATAGAAGCCATGATGTAAACTTAATAGAGAGTGGTCTGGTTGAAGTAGGGTAGGCTAGAGAGACCCAGGATCATTCTCCCTAACCCATCTCAGTGCCCTAGAAGATCTCTGAGAAAGTTCTATGGTAGTCAAAGAGCACAATGCTAGAGCCTGAAGTGATTGCTTTTCTCAGCCACCTCCTTAGCTCTTGGTTATGTAGCTACACTTGGATGTCAATCTGCATCTCAAATTTGTCTATCCAAAAACGTGCCCATGTCTTATTCCCCTCTTTGGCCTGAGGATTCCTCTTTTCTGTAAATGACACAATCCTAGTACCTTTATGAGGTCCTTAAATAGAGAAAATTAGAAAAGCACAGTTCAAGAGCCTTCACAGATTCATACAATTTATGGGCAGTATTTCAAACTGATTATTGAACCTTCTGACAAAACCTAGAGTGACATAGTAGCTTAGGTAAAGCAGTAAATAAAATCCTCTCTTAAAATATGAGAGATGTTGTTACAATTATGCTCCTATTTTTGTTCTTTTTGTTGTTATTGTTGTTGTTGTGTTGTTGTTGTTTTCATAAGGTGAATCACCAAGATGTTATGAAGAGGATAATAAACCTTAAATTGTGCATTTTTAAAAAGTGAAGTGTCTTCTTTTCAAAAAATGATTTTTTTTCTGCCAGATCTCAAAAGTGAATGTGGAATTGACTTCCAATTGGTTGGGACATCAAAACCCCAAAGAACTAAAATATTCTGAAAGTCCAGAACTTTCATCAACAGCATCCCATGTCCGGGATGATTATTCTAACCAAATAGCAGTTGGTATTCATTTTTGTTACTCTCTCCATTTTACAGGGCAGAAAAGGGGCTTAAACATGTTCAGTATCTTCCCCACACCCAACAGCCAGCAAGGGCCAGAGTTTGTAAAATTTCCACTTGAGCCTGGTGACCCCAGTGAGAAGGTGCCTGTCCCCCTCCCACTCACCCCGCCTCCTGTGGCAGGATCATCTGTTGGACTCACTCTTCTGTTGTCCCATGTTTGTGTAACCTACTCAGCTCATACTTCTCCATCTCTCTCTCCAAAAACTGCAAAAAAATGGCTATTTCTCCTGCATTGTTTCATTGTGTTTCTAATCTTCTTACAAGGATTTGGTTAGTTACAAATAATTGGTAATTTACAAAGAAATAAACTCAAGACGGAGTCCATGAAACCTGCATAATCCAAGTTATTTGTGTTATTTTTTTAAACCAATGAAGACTAATAAAGGCCTAATAATTGTACATTGATCTAAAGGATTTAAATTACCCCAAACTGAGATGTTTTCTCTGCCATTCCTCTGTAAATTTCTATTTGAAGACATTGAATTGCTGCCCCCTTACTCATCAGGCAGGGGCATCACCCAGGATGCATGACTCAGTGGCCTGATTTGCATTTTATCCGAGAATGTGGATGTATATTCGATACAGAGAGGATAAACCACAATGGTTCTAGCAGAGTGCATGAGGGAGGAGATACGTTAATGACGTCAAATTGCTAGTGTTTCTCCCCTTCACTGAATTCAACCATCTATGGCTTCGCTGTCCTAAATCTGTTCCTGTGCATAGTCATAGCCTTATTTAGGAATCAAATCCATTGTTCGTTCCAAGGCTCTTGATTCCTGATTCATCTCAATACACATACCCTGGCAGCCATCCATGCACACACACAGGCCACGCAGCAAATGTTACTTAGTAAATTTGATGTTGAAGAGACAAATACATTTTCCCCATACAAAGTGTATTAGAGATGGTGGTTCCTTATCTGGTCCAGCAAGCAAATGGCTACACACACACAACCCAGGTGAATGATGGATGATACTGAGATACTTGAGGCATTGAGGTCCCTAACGCTGGTTCATGGTAAAGTGTATGCTATGAGAGGAACCAGCAGAAGGGCCTAGAACATGTCCCTGTGCTGGTGCTGAGACTCGCTTGTGTCTCAGGGTGCTGGGGGTCTGGGACGCCAACAGAAGTCCACACGTTCCTCTGGTGTTCTGAATTAAAGGCTGAGCCAGCAGTCACAGCTTGTCCAGAGGGGCAGCAGGTACCAGCGGATGATCCTTAGTCCAGAGCCAGGCAGGAAGAGCACAGTGAGAGTAGAGGTACTAAGCTATGTGACTGTTCACTCAGGCAGGCTGCCCAGCACACTGATGCCCGAAGAGGAGAAGCACCTCAAGTCAAGGGAGCATTCTGCCTGTAGGAGGACAGGTTGCCGGATACTGGTAGGCAACCCACACATTACAAACAGATTAAATTATATCTAAGTGTTACTCAGGGGGCAACTGAAGCTCTGTATAGGAAATTTTGACTTAACTGTTTGCTTCTACAAAGCACATTGCTGGCACAGTTTGTAATAGCTAAAACTTGGAAACAGTCCATTTGCCCATCCGTTGGAGACTGGGTAAAGATATGGTTTTTCTATAAAATGGAATACTATAAAATGCCATAAAAATGAGAAATTAGATTCATTCATAGGAAAATGGATGCATATTGAGGATATATTCTTAAGTGAAATAAATAAGTCACACATGTATAAATACCAAACAGTTTCTCTGGTGTGAAAAACTATAATCATAAATAAGATCCTAATGGTATAATTGACAATGTGAAATAGGAAGAAAAGGGCTAAAGGTGTAGGGGAAATGGGAAGGGTAAGGGAAAGGAAATAAGGGAAAAGAAAAAAATCAGAAAATGAAAAAATGGAAATAAAGTGTCTGTAAAGGGGGAGAGGAGGGCGTGAAGGGAGGGCAGGGACAAGGGAAAAAATGAGAACCAAGACCTGTCATGTAAAGGTACAAGATCCCAATGATGAATGTAACTGTACTGTATACCTAAAATGTACCAATAAATGAGTAAAACATAAATAAATAAAAAATAAAAGGCACACAGCCTTAAGAATGAGAAAACAGCATCATCAGGGGTGCTTCCAAATCTCTCTAGATAGATAGTTCCTTTTAATTGCACTCAGAAGACAAATCGAAATGCATACATTTTCACCCTCTTTTGTACTAAGAAAGGATTTGCTCTTCCCCTCTTAAACCAACTTGTTCAGAATTCAATTTGACCTTTACTTTGATTACTTTGATTTTGATTAAAAACAAATGAAAAAAGCTGAGCTATCCAAACTGGCATTTTCCACAAGTGAGCCTTTTCTCATGCTCTCAGGAAGCTGCAAGCAAACCAGTTCTGACAGCTGACCTTCACAGAACTTCTTTCCCCTCATTCTGGGTACAGGAGAGAAAAAAAATGACTTAGCATAACTAGGAGCATTTAATTTCAAAATTTCCTGTGGTATTCCCTGTAGCCGATGTCTCCGTGTCAGTATAGTTCACTACTGATGGGAGAAAGAGGAATCAGAGGTAGTGGATTTCCTGTTGGAGCAAACAGGAGGAAGTGAAGAAAATTAGCTTAATATTAGACCTATTTAGTTTGGGTGCCTATGGGATATGCAAGTAGCTGAGCAAATCCAAATGAATGCCTGCCACTCAAAGATATATCTAGTCGGAGTTACTCTGAAAGTCATAAGGATGTAAATGTCAAAGTCTGGTGCAGATGTGCTCATCCGGGAGGAAAACAGCAGAAAGAAACTTAATGAATGCTGTCATTTCAGGTAGTACATCTCAAACTCGCTTGTGCAAGTGGATCAACTGAGGGTCTGACTAAGCTACAGCGTGTAGAGGAGCTTCTAACATTGCTAACGCTGCTTAGACTTTGGCAACATTTAGAGAACCGCAAGAGTTTTGAGGATGGTAGATGCAGAAAACACGAGGAAATGGGCTTGGAAAAGAAATAGAGACATCAACAGGAAATAAACACAAACACAGACTAGAGTCTAGAAGATAACGGAAGAGAGTATCAACGAAGATGTGATCCCACTCTACATGTTGGCCAA